CTTTCACTGTGAGGGTGACCGAGCACTGGCACAGGTTGCCCAGGGAGGTGGTGGATTCTTCCGTGTTGGAGATATTCAAAAGCCGTCTGGATGTGGCCCTGGGCAACTGGCTCTAGGTGACCCTGCTTGGGGGTTTGGACCAGATGATCCAGAGGTCACTGCCAGCCTCCGCCACTCTGTGATTGTGTTTGTATGACTGGGGATGTGCAAGGCCGGAGGCAGTGATGGGGGCACTGGCGGCTCAGGGGTAGGAGTGGGAGCTGTTGAGATTTGTGCCCATTTCTCAAAAGAGAGTCCAGGGCTGGAAATGAGGGAGAGGAGGTGCAACTCTCAACACTCACTCCCTTGTTCCCCTTCTCTGTTGCATAGCTAGAGCTTTTTCAGTGCTGCTGCAGCCACTTTCACCTTGTTTTCTGCCTCCCTTTCCCAACTGTGTTTGATTCCCTAGTGTGAGAACAGTCCCTTGCTAACTAGTGGGTAATAAGTATTTTTCTCCCTGTTTCTTATTAGAAGCAAAACTTTTTGGCTTTGGAAATAAGCGTGACTTGCCTGAAGAATACCTATTACACATAATATAATTTTAAATTTGTTTTTATACTGCGTTTTGCATGCATTTTTAGACTGAATTGCAAAATAAAAATGGCAACTGACTAGGCAATAATGCTAGTAAAATGTGATTTAAAAACTTGCTTGTCTCTACTACTCGGTATTGAAATAGCTTTTATCCTGTTTAAAGTGGTTGCCTTCCAGTTGCTCCAAATTGAACCATCCCAAGTATCCAAAGTCATCTTGTTGCATGGTTTCTGTTTTTACGAAGTGGTACAGTCCAGGATATGCCTATAAAATATCAGAAGGAAAAATAATAATTTTGGCACAGCTGTATCAATCCCCCGCCCATTATTGTGATTTGTATCATGTGACTAGTCAGCATTTAACTCTCATTTTAGCTTCTCAGTTGACATCATTTGTTATGTAAATACTTTGTTTAAGCTCTGAATATTGTTTTAGAATAGACATGAAAGTAGATGAGAGGCTAATTTGGTATTGCTTCAGTTGACAGAGAGATTACTAATAATCCCTCACACTGCTTTCTACTTGTAGATCATTAGGTTGTAAAATCTTTGTTGAAGGGACCTCCGGAGGTTTGGCTGTTTAACAGTGCTTACCCAGCTGCCAGGAGACTAATGCCCAGTGGTATGTCAGGATAAACTTAGGTACAGTTGAGTACATCCCATCTTTTTGCCTAACTCTTGCATAAAGATCACTCTTGGCAAAGCTTCCTACTAACCAACTGTTTACAAGAGTAGCAGAGCTGTGCAGTAGCTTAGTTTGATTAGAAAAGCTGCGTGGGATGCCTTCGGTTTAACCATAATGAGTGAAGGGAAAAGAACTTTGTTTACCTCTTAATTTTAAAAAAAAAAAAAAAAGAATGCTTGACTGTAATACAAGGTCTTACGATGTTTCAATATTTTCATTTTTTCCCCCCTTTTTTCCAGGGTCCCGGTATATCTCATCCCTATGACAGTGGGCACATAGCAATGACTTACACAGGTCTGTCATGTCTGGTTATTCTTGGAGATGATTTAAGTCGAGTAAATAAAGATGCCGTACTGGCAGGACTGAGAGCTCTCCAGCTGGAGGATGGAAGGTAGAAGATATTTTATATTCTGCAACTCTCTGGAAGATTAATAGAAAACCCAGATGTGGAATAAAACATAAGAAACGTGGTTTTTGTGAAAGTAGCTATATAATCTTTTCTTTCTATTAGAAAATACTTTGGTGGGTAATCAGTATCAGTCATAGAACACATACTAGTTTACAGGACCAAACAGCACTTTGTATATAGATTTGGTTTTGTATTGGAGAATGACAATATTTACTTACAACTGTAGATACTTATTATTGGAAAACTAATGGATTCGTTTATGTCTTGAGGATAGTAGTTTTTCTGCTCTGTCCTTCAGGTAAGTGAGGTTTTCTGTGTTTATATAGTCTGGTTTTTGCAGGGCCGTGGAATGCTACTATGATGAGGTTTGCTCTGCTTTGTGGGAGGATGGGCTTTATTTAGTTTTGAGAGATTCAGGGTATCAATATGCAGGATGAATTAACCAATATACTACTTGTAATAGGAGTATAATATTACTAAACTTCATTGTGAGATCTGCCCTTTTTACATGCATTTTTAATAGATGGTATATACTCCTTGATCTACTTCCGTTGGTGGGTCTTTTTGTTTGTTTTTTTTTAATGCAGGCTGAAGCTGGTAGGTAATGAAAACTTCTGCTAGTGCACGTGATCTGTCTATGTTGTTAAATTTTACTGAATGTCATTTTTGAAAGAGTACTTTAAGAAATGCAGAATTACAGAAATGTTGTTCCTGAAGGAATTATCTTTCACTTCACAATGAAATTGCTGTCACTCTTCGTGAGTTAAGAAAGCTTTTGTTTTGGTCAAGTGGCTGTGTATTGCCTAGACATCTTCTATAATTAAAATTTTTTTTTTTTTGTAACACAACTATAAAAATGCAGTGTTGAATGTGTTTTCAGAAAGAAGAAACAAACACAAAACTCCAGAAAGTTCAGGATGTAAGCGGTGAATAAGAACTATATGATGTACAGTTTTCTGTTATTTATAACAGCAGACTGACCTTAGTGGGCCAAATCTTAATGTATGTATACGGATACATATACATGTATTTGTTGATCTGCTATAGCTTGTAGTTTCTTCAAGCGTGTGGAGGTGCTTTTCCCATTCTCCAAGCATTCCTAGTATATGTCGGACCATTTTCGGAAAGGAAGGAGTTGCTCCCAACCCACTAGCATCTTGAAGTGGTTACTTGTCATCTTGCCTGATTACAGTAATAAGCTACATGGAGTTAAAGTCTTCTACATGTTTGTACCATGTGTGGTTCTAATGTACAGACTGTTAACTCTTATACATGATCCTGTGTTTTATACTCCCTGCTGAAGAGTGCCAGCTAGCCCCTATAGGGAAAGGAGAGTGCTTTGCACTGGTATAGAATTGTTACTTCGGCAGGAGTCAATTTCTAGTGTGACAGACATTTTCATACCTATGAAAACCCCGCAAAGGGGGAGGATGTGTGAAGGCCAGAACTTGAGCTAACATCTTGTCCAGATGGAAGCAGCAAGTGAGCTCAGGGAG